TCTGTCAGCTATTGAAATGGTAACATTTGCAGTGGAGTCAGAGACTCTCAAGGGGAATATGATTCACCTCATTAAAATCTGAGAGTGTCCGAGAACTTTCCATGAGGTCTAGTCACAGTGGAATCTAAGCCTGTTAACTTTTGGGGGGCATTAATTGTTCATACTGCCAGGAAGAGAGTTGTAAGGCTCTTTGTTCCCTCTTTTCAAAGTAAAATTAATGAGATCTTTAGAAGAGTCCTTAATAATTTAAAAAACTAGCTTCCCACTGTTCAGATAGGTTAGTGGTCAATTTGCATTCTTTATTACATGAAAGAAATCTTTCATTTATTGATTTGAAATTGGCCTGGTGCTATATGAATAGTACTGATCATGTTTAAATAGATTGTGCTGATTGAGGTAGCAAGTTCTACCTTCTGTCTACAGTACTCAGAGGCTCTTTGGGCACAAAGTCAAAATAGGGAGCGCAGGAATAGGGTGGGGACCGTTATGCCCTTAGGCAGCAAGTCCCCCGGTTTTGACCAAAGAGGTGGAGTCAACGCTGGTCTCCTCCAGGCCCAGCTGGAAACAAGAATGTTGGAAACTAGGAGAGAAAGGAAAGAGGGAAAATGGTGATAGTAGTCATGCTGAGCTCACCATGGGGCACACATGACATGCCCTTTCCCGTTCATACGAAGGAAAGAAGCCTGCAGTAATTATGGAGTGTTGTTCTTTACTATGAGGTGGCATATGATAGGGATACCTCAAGCCAGCTAGTCATGGTTGAGAGGTTGAAGTTTTCTGTGCTGTCTTTATGAGTGTTAGACCATGCTTAACCATCTTTCTGCTCTTTATTCTTCATGGAGAGTAGCTTTTGAAGCAGAAAAGCTTTGGTGAATGCCTTTGGTAATTACAATGTAATGACATGAGTGGTGAACAGTATAGTCTCGTTATTTCATGCTCTCCCATTGGTCACCGAGGGTATAATTCAGATGGACTTTACTTTAAAAGTAAAGAGCTGCTTTTTATATTTCTAAACTGACAAAATGTGATTAAGAGTGGGAAGGAGTGCTTGCCGGCTGGCTCACTTGGTCATTCCGTAGACCAGAAGATGGCGGGTTAGATCCCCTGGTTAGAGTATGTACCTAGGTCATGGGTTTGATCCCTGGTTGGGGCATGTTTGGGAGGCAACTGATAGATGTTTCTCCCTCATGTCGTTATTTCTCTTTCTCTCTAAAATCAATAAAACATATCCGTGGGTGAGGATTAAAAAAAAAAAAAAAGTGAGAAGGGGTGGGACAGTGCCCAGAGAGCAATGAGCCGTTTTTTTCTTTTTCCCTTTTTCCCCCTCTTCCCCTCTTCCCATGTTCCCCTGTTCCCCTCTTCCCAACCTTTCTCCGTCACTCTCTTCCTGTCTCTCCTTCCCCTCCCCATCTCTTTCACTTATGGATATCACCAGATATAGGTTGAATGGGGGAAGGGTGCTAGTACATTTCACCCAGGGCCACTATATCTACAGAATTTCTTTTCCTTATCATTTTATGAGCTTAAGAAAAAAAGCAAATCTCACTGCCGTTCCCTTAGTTAAATCACTTTATGAATTACCATTTAACTGCCTTGATTTAGATATTGTGGTTCAGGAAACCACTGTTTCCATTTTGTCCAGTTTCAATGAGCCATTCACTCCGGCTGTATTTCAGCCAAACATAACTATCTGGAGAATGTCTTAGGACAGATCATTGAGTGTTCAGCCAGGAGAGCTTTAGGCTGCAGTGCATGTGGATGAAACCAACTGGTGAAAGCTCTGTAATAGGAAAGACTGGAGGGAGCCAAAGACTTCAAGATAAATGAATCCTTTCTGTTTTAGTTTAGGAGGCTACTCTCTGTCCCTTGTTTTGGACTAGCCATCATGGCAAGGCCCACAAGTCAAGAAGAAGGCCCACAAGTTGAGAAGAAGCCACATTTATGTCTTCTTTCACTTTTTCTGTTCTCCTTCCCTTATTGCATTCTTGACTCTGAATTTTTTTCTTTGTGATTTGCATATTTATATAAAGTACTAGGGCACTTTGACTTTTCTTAAGCTTTTATGCAGAATTTATTTTTGGTCAAGATTGCATGGCTGCCCAGGTGAGTCATGCGTATGCTAATGGGGCATTTCAGTGGGAGAGGATTATTTACTTAATAAATGGAGTCCATATAATTGATTATACACTTGCAAATAGACCTAGACTCTCTAGCTCACTCCATCATCAAAAGTAATTTATAAATGTATGAAAGACATAAGTGTAAAAAGTAGAACTACAAAAATAATAGGAAAAATAGGTGAATATGTTTAAGAACCTTGAATAGACACTTCTCCAAAGAGGACATACAGATGGCTGGTAGACATATGAAAAGATGCTCTACATCACTAATCATCAGAGAAATGCAAATTAAAACCGTAATGAGATACCATCTCACACCTGTCAGAATGGCTGTCATCAATAAATCAACAAACAACAAGTGCTGGCGAGGATGTGGAGAAAGGGGAACCCTTTTGCACTGTTGGTGGGAATGCAGGTTGGTGCAGCCTGGAGATACCTCAGAAAATTAAAAATGGGACTGCCTTTTGACCCAGCGATCCCACTTCTGGGGATATATCCAAAGGAACCCAAAACACTAATTTGAAAGAATGTAAAACACCCTGTGTTCACTGCAACATTATTTACAATCACAAAGTTACTGAAGCAGCCCAAGTGTCCATCAGTAGATGAGTGGATTAAACAAATATGGGACATTTACACAATGAAATATTACTCAGCTGTAGAAAAGAAGAAAAGTTCACCCTTTGTAACCACATAGATGGACCTGGAGAACATTATGTGAATGTTCTCATAACTCTCTGGAGAGCTAAGTGAAATCAGCCAGTCAGAGAAAGACAAATACCATATGATTTCACTCATACGTAGAATCTAATGAACAGACTGAACTAACAAGCAAAACAGAGACAGACTCATAGATAGCGAGCAGGTTGACAGCTAAGGTGGGGCGTTAGGGAGAGGAGGGATCAAGCAATAAGGAAAAAGCACTCATGGACATGGACAACAGTGTGGTGATTGCCTGGAGGAATGGGAGTATAAGGGGGATAAATAATAATGGAAATAAATACAATTAAAAGTATAACAAATGAATATATATTTCAGAAGCATTTAATTGATATAGAATTCCTGCATTTGTACAAAATTTTGTAAGACATTAAAGCAAGAAAATACATTTAAAAAACTTGAAAAAATATGTATGGAGTTTCATTTGTAATTCTAAAACTATAAGTATTACAGAATGAGAAGCCATGTGATTACATCTGTGGTAGCTAAGTGCACTTGTATTGCTATGACAGCCTGCTGACTCAGGTTTGTACCTGTCTTCTGCGCTGAGATATCTTTGTTGTTTACTAATAGCTTTATTGAGATACGTTATTTACCCACTTAAGAAGTACAGTTCAATCATTACCATAGTTAATTTCAGTACATTTTCATCATCCCCAAAGGAAGCTCCATAACCATGAGCAGTCATTTGACTCTTTCCCCCATCCTCTAACCTCTATCCTTAGGCAACAACTAATCTACATATTTACCTTTTCAGGACATTTCATGTAAATGGAATGACAATATGTGACCTTTCATGACTGACTTATTTTTATTTAGCATAATTTTTTTTAAAGATTTTATTCATTTTTAGAGAGAGGAAGTGAGGGAGAGAAAATTAATGTGTGGTTGCATCTCATGTGCCCCCTGCTGGGGACCTGGTCTGCAACACAGGCATGTGCCCTACACTGGGAATCGAACCGGTGACCCTTTAGTTTGCAGGTTGGCGCTCAGTCCACTGAGCCAAACCAGGTGGGGCAACTTAGCATAATGTTTTCAAGGTTCATCATATTGTATCAGTACTTCATTCCTTTTTATTGCCAGATAATATTCCATTGTGTTTGTGTGTGTGTGTATCATTTTATTTATACTTTATCAGTTGATGGATATTTGAGTTGTTTCAACTTTTAGGCTATTATGGGTAATGCTACTATGGACATTTGTGCACAAGTTTTTGTGTGGATATGTTTTTATTTCTCTTAGGTACATACTTAGAAGTGGAACTGTTGGGTCATAGAGTAAAGTCTTTGTTTTCAAAAACTGCTGACTATTTTCCAAAGTGGTTGCACCATTTTATATTCTTACTAGCAGAGCATTAGAGCCTGAGATATTATTTAAAAACGAAGATCTAGCCCTCGCTGGTGTGGCTCAGTGGATTGAGTGCCAGCCTGTGAATCAAAAGGTTGCCAGTTCAATTCCCAGTCAGGGCACATGCCTGGGTTGGTGTTCAGGTCCTCAGCAGCGGGCACAGGAGAGGCAACCACACATTGATATATCTCTCCCTCTCTTTCTCCTTTCCTTCCCCTCTCTCTAAAAATAAATAAATAAAATCTTTAAAAAAATGAGGATCTGTTTATGAGTACTTACCTCTTAGGGTTAGGCACTCATGAATAGCCACTCATGTAGGGATTAAATGATATATAACATATATAGCAGTTAAAACAGTTCCTGGCACACAGGAACAGTCAGTAAGTGTTGGTTATTTTATTATTATGTATATAGTGGGTGTTCCATGTATATAACAAGTTCAGAATCAGTGTAGTGTTTTTGTTTTTTTTTTTGTGGTGAAATACACCTAGCATAAAATTCACCATCCTATTTTTTTTAAAATAGCTTTTTTTAAAAGAGCTTTACTTATTTTTTTTCTTTATTTAATCCTCATTTGAGTATATGCTTATTGATGAGACAGAGAAAGGTGTGAGAGAGAAACATTGGTTGGTCGCCTCCCCAAGCACCCCTACTGGATATTGAACCCACAACCTAGGTATATGCCCTGACTGGGGATCAACCTGCAACCTGCAACCTTTTGGTGTACAGGCCAACACTCCAACCAACTGAGCAACCTGGCCAGGGCAATCTACTAAATGTTTTTAGGGTTTGGTTTTGTTTTGTTTTGTTTGTAATTGTTTCAATCTGCAAAAATCAGAAGGCACTAATGAACAGCCAACCCATCCCCATGGTGCTCTGACTGAAGACAAGTTAGCTTAGATATATGATGGACCAAATTCCCACTACCTAAGGCTCCAAGGAAGAAGAGGAATAGCCATAAACATTTTTCCAGTTTCTTAGTGTGAAATTTTAAATCACTGATTTTCCACTCTTCTTTTATTCTAGTAAGCATTTCATACTAAAAATTTCCTTTTAAGCATCACTTTAGCTGTATTCCATAAATTTTAATTGGATGTGCTTTTATTTTTATTCAGTTCATAATACTTTGTAATAATTTGTCTTATGATTTTTTACTTTGACCCATGGGTTATTTAGCAGCATGTAGTTTAATTCAAGTATTTGGGTATTTTACTGTTATTTTTTAGTTAATTATTTTTAGTTTAATACCGTGTGGTCAGAGTTCAAATTTTATATAATTTCAGACCTCTTAAATTTATTCAGATTTGTTTTGTGGCCCAGAATATAGTTTATCTTCTGCTATGAATGCCCTCTGTCTGCTATTGAAAATAATGTGTATTTTGCTGTTGAGGGGTAGAGTGTTTTGTATATGTCAGTTAGGTCAGATTGGTTGATAGTGCTGTTCAGGTCTTCTGTATGTTTTATATCAGTATATATCTATTTTACTGATTTTGTGTTTACTTGTTCTATCAGTTACTGAGAGAATACCTTTATCACCCTGAAGAAAAAAAATTGTTATTACTAGAAATATATCCTTCCAGTATTTTTTAAACATCAATATCATTTTTAACAGGTTGTATCAGAATACTTTTTTGTAACCTTCATTTCCTCTTAAAATCTCATAAATATTTTTCCGTGATCATCATGCTCATACTGATCTATTAATATATTAGCTTTTTAAAAGACTGCATATTTCAACTTATTGTGTATAACCCCAATTTATTTCTTTTTTTCTGCTGTTAATAGCAATGCAATGTACAGTATTTCTTTAGGATACATTTGTAGAAATTCAGCTGTTATTAAAGACCATGCAAAATTTTAAAGCTTATGGAATATAGTCAAAATGCCTGCCTTAAAGTTCATCCTGGTGGATAGTATACTAACATTAAGTGTCTACTATTTACTTTGTTAGGAGGTATAGATAGGATTTATATTATAACTTCAATTTTTTGTCCTTTCTTCATTTTTACCTAAGAGCCAGTAAACTTATTTTCTCTATATCTTTTGATTTAATCAAATATAATTTTTACATTTACTACAGTTTATATGGTGAGTCAAAAATAAGGACTTTACACAGCCTCTTTGAAAAGAAGTAGAGTAGCAAATATTTTGTTGTGTAATCACACAACAAACTATTGGCTATATGTCAGCTTCCAGTGTGTATTTTGTGACTTAGTATAGAGAGCTTTTTATTTTCTTTCGGGTAGGTCCATGGGTTTTGACCAAGGTTAAATATTTTAGCTCTAAGGAGGTAAAATAGTGGTAGTGGTGAAGTGTGGTATGTGCTAAAAATTGGGAGGGGTATGGTTTATTCTGGATGAGAATAAATGTTTATGAGATAATAGAAAAAAATATATATATTGGTCTCTACTCCTGGTTCCTGGCACCAAAACTCCTAAAACCCTTCATAATTTTCTAAGTGATAAGAGCACTATGAGTATCTCTTGTTCTAATATTTGGGTTTTGACCCCATTCCTGATACAGGGCTCCTAAAAACTCTGTAAATTCCTAAGTGATAAGAGCACTAAGAGCATCTTTTGTTCTCATGGAGTGACTGTGTGGGCTTCTGGAAGGGTCCAATCACCAGAAGGACCAAGCAGTGATTAGAAGATTAGAATTTTCAGCCCTGCCCCTCATTCTCAAGAGACAGGATGGTGCTGGCAATGTAGTAATGGAGCCTGCCTGCAGGAGGAAGCCTCATGTAGTAAAGAAGACATACAGAAGTGTGGGAAATGGGTTTTCTTAACAATATCCTATTACTAGATCTTACACATATTAGTTTATTTTCTACATGGACCTGTCTTGGTTCTGTCACTTCTGATTCATGTTTTTTTTTTTAAAAATGTTTTAGTTTCTCCATTCTCCTCCATTCTCCCTGAAAAGGATGATGATGCTTTGAAATAACCATGAACTCCTCCAGTGGTTTTGAAATAACCAGTTTGTTTTCTGCTCCTTTAATATGAATCATAGCATTTTAATGTCTGTGACTTCTTTGGCAGTCATTTGAGACATCTTAATGCCTGATGTTTAAATTTTGATATTAACAACTTTATATATTCAACAGGTGTTTCCTAGCCTTTCTTTAATGTGAGGCAGTCTTGTAATTTACACTCTAGTTCTCATAGGTACCCAAGCAGGCACTCCTGTGCTGTCATTGTACAGAAGAGGAAAGCTCTGTGAAGGATAAAGCATCTGTGGTAACTTGTGAGCTGACCTTGGAGGGACTGTTAGTATTTTGTGCCTAAGGATTAAGATTTCAGTCATCTTGGAGGGGTCTTGAATTACCAACTGGAGGATTTAGGCATTTAGCTATAGAAAGTTATATACAGTACTGTATTTCTACTACAGAGGTCTCTTCTGCTTTTAGGATTCCCTCTACCAGAGCCATCAGGTAGTTTCCTAATTTACAATCTTTCTCTATTAAATCCTTTTAAGGTATCAGATTATACCATGACAGGCAATTCTGAGTTCCTGAAAATAACTGAGTCACTGCAGCTGATTTTATTCTGACGAGTGGAGTGCTAATGACTCAAAAACACAAATCCTTCTCCCTTCCCATTGCCTGTGACAGGCCTCCATATGTTCTAATTCACTTTGTCAGTATATTTGGCTTGTTGTGTCCAAAAGCATATGTGTTAAATTTAGATTTATGGCTTTGAGAAGAAAGTTATTTTGGAAATATTTTTCATTTTTGAGTTCTGCGTATGAACATTAAGGCTCAGTTAAGTCACCTATTCCTGAACTGAGAAGTACTACTCTGAACTATCATCATAACTGATCTTTCTCTCTGATTCTTTAGTTGGAAAGATTTGGTTTAATGATTATTTAAACTTGGGAAGTCCTACATAGGATTAAACAAGTTAAGTGTTTGATATGGTAGGATAATTTAAATGAAGTATCCACTGCTTGGAGATCCTGCATGCCTCCAGGAATCTAGCACTTAATTTGTGGAAGAGCTGTGCCTTTGTTTTTACCTTTTTTTTTTTTTTTTGCCAAGTAAAACAAAGACTGTGGACTTTCTCTGATTTAAACACATACACACACACACGGCAGGAAAAATGATATTTAAAAAATCTGGCTGTGGGTTTCTTGTTCTAGGCAGGATGGCATAAGCACATCCCTCCCTACTGAATGCAGCTGTAAAACCTGGACAGAATGCTGGTAGCAGCTTTTTGAGAATGCTGGAAAGTAAATAATGGCAGGTACATTGGGAAAGAAGACCAGAATTCCGAGTACCACTGAACTGGCATTGGATTCTCCATTCCTCCTGGTCCTCTTGCCATTTGGCCCCACAGGGAGGCACAGCTGTGGAAGTACAGTATATAGGCTGGAGAGCTAAAAGGAAGCCCCAGGAAACCTTAAAGTATTGTGGGGATCTCAGAGGAGGAAGAGCTCAGGAAAGCAACTTTATATGGTTATCCATTGAACTATGGGCTCACCTCTGAGCTGTGTGGATGTTTTCCTCCTTAGCATATAGATGATTTTGAGATCTGAAATAACAGATAGACCACCACCCAGGCTCCAGATTGGGCACCATATGGTGCATGCAGGGCACACATCCAAACAGCACTGAAAAGGCTTTGAAAACTATAATAAAATTGTTAACATTCACTGGAAGATTTCAGTAAGACCCAGAGTCTTATAATATAATATTCAAACATTTTCATGGTACAATCCAAAATTACTCAGCATATAAAAATCCAGGAAAGCCTCAGCTAGCATGGGAAGAGACAACAGATGCCAATGCTGGAGTGACATAAATGTTAGGATTATCTGACAAAGAGTTTAAGGCAGCAATGATACTGCAGTGAACGAGAGCGAGAGTTCAGTGGGCAACAGAAACCAGGGTTGGGTGAGTGTGAGGACTTGGAAGCCACAGAATGGCAGAACAAAGCACTGGATTTCCCATACTAATCCCTTTTGTCATACCAACTACTGACATTTAATTTATTTTGCTATAGTTTTATTAGTTAAAAATTTAGTACCCAGTATTGATCACTGATTAATTTCCCATTATCCATACTAGGCTATTTGATTCATAGCTACTTTCATCCATTTAAAATCTGCTTAGTCCTTTTTCAGGAGGGAAGATGATATAGCCCAGAGGGTATAATGGGCATTGAAGTCAGAAAGACTTGAATCCAGTCCTAGCTCCACCTCTCATTAGATGTGCACCTTGGCTAGCTCATATACTTAACTTTGAGCTGAGGCTTATACAGCCCTTGCCTCACAAGGTTGTTGCAAGGGTTAAGTAAGCATTGGCCTCATCCGTCTATTCTCTAGGCCCGTATCATCCTTATCGTAACTTGAAAATACAGTAAAAGTAAGGATGGGCTCAAAAGCCAAGTAGAGATAATCCTGATAATGTAAGTCCTGTTGAACTGCTAATTTGCTCTAAGCATCATTCCACGTTTGCCACTCTTCTGCCCTATTTCCTAGGCTCAGTCAGAGTTAAAAACATTGCTAAAGACTTCTAAAGAATTTAAAATATTGCTTTTGAGAGGACCAGAGAGAAAATATACTTTTATCCTCAAAAAACGGCAGATATTTCTTGTGTGTTTATTTTAATGTGTGGGTTGATGTTCTGTCATAGTTTGCAAAATATAGTGTATAGCCCTGATATAATGAATCAGAAGAGACTGCATGTGGAGATGTGCATCTCAGACCAAATGTTCTCAACTGGGACAGGGGTGTGGTCAGTGAGAGGTATGAATGAAGCATTTGTTGGCATATTGGCCCGACCTAGGGAGGGATTATAATTTCACTGTAACAGATCCCCAGTCTGAACCAGATGAGCTCTGTTTTCTGGCTAGAAAAAAAATAAGCTGAACTTGGTATAAACAGTGGTTTAAGTCTCCACAGATCTTTGCATTACCAAACAGTTTCTCTGCCTTTTGGGCTGCAAGTTTGGTTGTCATTGTA